ATCTCCCTTTCTTCTTCTCTCTCTCTCTCTCTCTCTCTCTCTCTCTCTCTCTCTCTCTCTCTATCTATCTATCTATCTATCTATCTATCTATCTATCTATCTATCTATCTATCTATCTATCATATCCCGCCCATCTAGCCTTTGACTGCTCTGGTCGGCTCACAGCAAGTGGAATAAAAAAATTAAAATATAACAACAATTTACAAGAATAAATTGGCCTCCTAATGGACTGACTTTCTTAGTCTCGGTTCTGGGCTCTGCAAACTCGGGGACGGCGATGCTGCTGATATAGAAACACTACTTCCAGGACTCCAGCTACTGCTCAGAAAACCGTGGAGTTTTATAATCCTGTGGCATGGCATGCAGTCAGGTCTGCTCGCTCTATTATGAAAAGAACACATTTTTAAAGACACTCCGATGATGCCCGTGTCAAGAGCTTCATACCAGCACCCTCTGATGGTCAGTCATTTAATTGCTTGTTAACTACATATTTGCCTCTTCCTACTTTGTTTCTTCCTTTAAGTCTGGATGGGGTGATCAGAGGTATTTGCAATGCACTAGCCCTCCAAATACATTGGACTACATTTTTCATCATCCCCAGGCAACATGGCCAATAGGTTCCCCAGATGTTTGATTAGTTACCTTAATATCTTGCCTTTTTTCCTGTACATCCAAGATGGCATAGAAATGACTCTCATCTACCCACATTATCCTCACAACATCCAGGCACAACAAAAAAGAAAGCTCAAGAGCTCATGCAGTGAGCGTGTCATGGCTCAGCAGAGACTAGAACTCGCAGCTCTCAAATCCCAGTCCAACGTGATACAGCTGGAAGTTGTAATTCAACAATAACTGGTGTTAAAAAGCTGGGAAAGGTTACTTAGAGCCTGAGTTAGAAAATGTCATCCTCCGGGTTTTTTTGGACTAGAACTCCCATCACCCAGGATAAAGGCTGATGGGAGCTGCAATCCAGTCACATCAAGGTAGATACACAGTGTTTAGAGAGCAAATGTTTGCTACAGAGCTTGGGAACATTATGTTTTGGAACTACAACTCCCATAATGCCTCAGTTGCTAGCAGAGGAATTTGGGGGTTGTAGTCCAAAACATAGTACTTCCAAGTTCTGCTTATCCACCCTTCCTCTCTAGATGGCTTTGTATCCCAGAAGGAATAGGGACTTACATGTTCTTATTCCTTATCTATCTGGATTCCTGAATTTTAAAGTTGTAAATCGTGTTGTAGTAATAAAGTTGGAAATGCAGTTGCTCATCATGATAACCCTCCATAACCCAGTCCACAAATGCAATCTGCTAGCGCAATTTGTTGTTGTTGTTGTTGTTGTTGTTGTTGTTGTTGTTGTTGTTTAGTCGTTAAGTCATGTCCGACTCTTTGTGACCTCATGGACCAGAGCACGCCAGGTCCTCTTGTCTTCCACTGCCTCCCGGAGTTGGATCAAATTCATGTTGGTCGCTTCGATGACCCTGTCCAACCATCTCGTCCTCTGTTGTCCCCTTCTCCTCTTGCCCTGACACTTTCCCAACATCAGGGTCTTTTCCAGGGAGTTTTCTCTTCTCATGAGATGGCCAAAGTATTGGAGCCTCAGCTTCAGGATCTGTCCTTCCAGTGAGCACTCAGGGTTGATTTCCTTCAGAACGGATAGGTTTGTTCTCCGTGCAGTCCAGGGGACTCTCAAGAGTCTCCTCCAGCACCACAATTCAAAAGCATAAATTCTTTGGCGGTCGGCCTTTTTTATGGTCCAGCTCTCACTTCCATGCATCGCTACTGGAAAAACCATAGCTTTGACTATCCTAGAGTAATACATATTTTTATAAAAAGTAGGAGGGGGTCTTTTGTAAACTCTGAATTGCCCATTCTGGAACAGACCACCCTCAAATATTTTGCATTCACAACATTAGAACGTCTACCCTGAAAGCCTTGGTTTCACTACACTCACTAGTTTAAAATCTTCTTTGAATCATCCTAATGTTCATCATGCTACAATCTTTTCCCTGTGCTCTATCTTTTATGAGACCTTTTGGCAATAAACAAAAAAGAAAAGCCAGCACCAGAAGGGTGAGCACATTCTCTTCCTTCATATTAATTTAATTTTGGATTTATTCTCCAGGCACCCACAGCTTGCCCCCAAAAACAGAGAGTCCATGGAGGTGGGCAGAAACATCTTTGCCAAGTTCTCTGCGTACATCAAGAACCCCCACAAGGAAGCAAGCAAGAGTAAGGACAAATGATAGCCTTATAGTCTAGATATTTTAAGGCACATTCTAGATTATTATATGAAAGTCCGTTGGAACATTTGGTAGGGCACTGTGTAGAAAGCAAGCAAAAGGGGAGGGTTCACTTATTCTTTTTCCAACAGTCTTTGGGTTACCTATCATCCTATTGATTCCATAACAAGGCCCTGTGTTCCAAGGCTAACTGGCTGGATAGTTCATCGGTTGGAGTATCTGGCTGGCGATCCGGGAGTCAAGAGTTCGATGCTCCACTGTGCCTACCAGGAGAAAAGCCAGCCTCTGTGGCTGCAGACAAACTGCAAAGTCTCAGAGAAACCCCACAAGAATATCCTGGGAAAGATCTCCATGAGTCAGAATCAACTTGGCAGCACATAATTATTATTAATTATGTTCCAGGACTACTTGAGGAAGCTACAGACATCACAGGAGGGGTGGGAGGAATACATAGGCAAATAATAATTGCATGCCATCATGTCAATTTCAGTTTATGCCAACCCTTTCCAGGGTTTTCCAGGTAGAGAATATTCAGAAGTGCTTTACCCTTCCCTTCCTCTAGGGGGCAACCTTGGGACTGTGCAGCTGGCCCAAGGCCACCCAGGCTGGCTCTTCTCCCTGGAGGCACAGCGATAGGGAATTGAACCCCCAACTTTTGGCTCTGAAGTACGAAACCAAAACCACTGAGCTATCCAGCCAGCTAATAGAATGGGAAGGACACCATGTAAACACTGTGAGGTTGTTCATGCAACTGTTCATACAAGAGAGAGCCTTAGTGGAACTTGGGGGAGGGATTGCTTACATGATCCCCATCTGCTGCATGTCTAGGCAACAAAATATTGTCCATTATGTGCATTGAAAAGAGCTGCATGCATCCGATTTTGCATGGTACTGTCTTCTGCCTTGAGAACGGGGAATGTGTGTAACCTTCTAGATTTTGCTAGGTTATAATTTCTGTCATTTGCTGCTATTGGTTAGGCTGTTTGGGGTTGAGGGGAGCTGCAGTCCCACAACATCAGAAGAGCAGCATGTTCCCTATCCCCTTCCCCCAGTGCATGTCCAAAAGAAAAGTGTCATGAGGTTTGGAAGAACCCTAAAGTTTGAAGGAATAAAAAAAAAAAGGTTTGGGGGGACATAGAACCTAAGATGGAGAGACCTTCCCACCTCCGAAACAGCTCAGAATGCTCCCATGGAATGTTGAGGGACTCTTGGGTGACATTTCTACCCATAGCACTTAAGCATGTTGGCTGGCTGGCTGGCTGGCTGGCTGGCTGTCAGCCATTCTCACGACAATTAAATTCCCCAATCCCCACTGATTCAATGGGGCTAGATTTCAGCTACATGGATGGATATTTGGTCTTAATGTCCAATTAACTTAAAAGAAGTAGGTATATATTCATGGTTGCCTAGCACACATAGGCCAACATCTTTTTGCTTAGCATAGTAGAACATACTAGAGTGAGCCATGGAATCAGTGGGGATTTGGTTGGTTGGTTGGTTGGTTGGTTGGTTCGTTCATTCGTTGGTTCGTTCGTTCGGTCGGTCGGTCATTCGTTTGTAGCCTGCCCTGTATCACAGGATCTCAGAGTGGGTTACAGAGCTGTATAAAACAATTTTAAAACATGAGAGACTTAAAATGATAGTCTGTATCTCAACATAGTACAGAGCAGTAAATTGTTTAGTACTTCCTGAGTGTATTAATTCAAGTTGTTTCCCCCTGGGCAGAGAACTCAATTTTCTCACACATATGAACTGATACATGGTCCATACCTATGAATAAATAGCATGATAAGAGTTTGAAGCTACCACTGATTTTGTATGTAAACGCCATAAATTGTTTCCTCAAAGGAGAATTCACACTCTTTTAATTAAGGATTACATTGGTTATATAGAATAAAAAATAACTTTGCTGCTCTGTAGATTGTTTTCAAGTCAGCCAAGAGATTTCTGCTTTTTATTAAGAGGTGAAGCTGCCCATACAGAACAAAAATACTAGTGTTGACCTCTTGTGCATTTTATTACAAGCCGTTAAGTCAATAATTAGATCTCTGCAATTTCATGGATGGAAAGATCAGGTCGTCCACTTTGAATGAAAACAGTTGTATTGCTCACCAGCACCTTCTGGAATGGCTGATCCGTCCTCCAGGACATGAAACATGTAGACACTTCCCCCCTTCAGCAATGCTGGGGTTAGGGGTGTCAGATCCCTGTGTAGTTTAAAATCCGTGTATAATTTTTATGACCTCTCCAAACATAACTACAAAGCATATACAGTTGGTTCTAACTTAAAGATCCTTATGAGTCCCTGATCTAGAGGCTGAATTCAAGATGTTGGGTTTGGGGGGCAGGAAGACCCCTTGGATGCCTTCAGGGTTGAACTCATGGGGTTCTGGGTGGTCCAGGGGCACTATTGACTAAATATTTAACGTATTTTTCACACCATAAGATGCACTTTTCCCCCACAAAACAGTGGGGTGAGAAGTCTGTGCATCTTATGGAGCGAAGAAAACAGATTATATTTTCCTGTTTTCTTCTCCTAAAAAATTGGTGCGTCTTATGGAAAGGTGCATCTTATGGAGCGAAAAATACGGTATTTATCGAAACAAAAATTGTGTAGAATCAAAACCGTGCTGCTCAGATCCATGCAATTCAAGGGAGAAATCTATCTATCTTGAGCAAATGGCAAGATAAATGATGGGGGTGAAAACTGGCCAGGTCTGTTAACACCTCTTTTGGGTTCCTGTGATTCAGATCTGGAGAAAGCTCTGCTGAAGGAGTTCCAGCGCCTGGATGATTATTTAAGCACTCCGCTCCCAGAGGAAATTGACCATCACTGCACAGAGGAAATACTGGTCTCTCAAAGGAAGTTCCTGGATGGGGACAGGATGACCTTAGCCGATTGCAATCTACTGCCCAAACTCAACATCATCAAGGTGAGATGGTTCCCTGGGCTTGTGAGTTGGGGTGCGGCTGAGGGGCAGATCACATGCATGGCATGGACAGAGTCCCGGGTTCAGGTCAGGCTAGGAAATATTCCAACCTGATTCTGCGATTTGTGTTAATATTGGGCTAAATGGGTGGAACAATGAATAGCCTGAACCGATCTAAGGCAGCTTTTTATAAGTCTGTGGCCTCTATTCAAGGCAGACCTTGGAAAAGTTACTTTTTTTTGGAGTACAACTACAAGAATCCATTCAGACCGAAGGGGACTAGACCTGTTAAGGTAAATAGAGGGGGCAGTGCAGAATGAGGATACCCCATATAGTGTTGTGAGTAGAGTGGTGGACTAGGACTCACAAGACCTGGGTTCAAATCTCTAAATTTTGGCACCCTAGGTCAAAGCCCCTATCATCCAACCGAGTTATAGTTCTGTTCACAGCAAGCCAGCGAGGTGGACCAGATGAGGAGACCATGATCGCCCAAGGTCCCCCATGTTTTTTTTTAATAGCTGAATGGGCTTGAACCTGGATATTTCCAAGTTCCAGTTCAAATCTCTAACCCATGACTCTGTCCTTCACAGCATCCCCCTGACCTTCTCCTGGGTACCTTTTGTGTGTTTTTCATCATCTTACAACCGCAGAGCTAGAAGGGACCCTCTGGATCATCAAGTCAAGGAGGCCCAGTGGGGAATCGAACTCCCAACCTCTGGCTCCACAGCCAGAGATCTAAACCACTGAGCTATCCAGCAGTCCAGCAGTTTAAAAGCACTTCAGTCACTGCGGGCGAGGAGACTCCACGAAGTCGTCTCCTGCTGGGAACTGCTGTCAGGGCTGTCAGTGAGGACAGAAGACAAAAAGATACATTTCAAAAATGAGCCAAGTGTGAGCCTTGCAGATGTGGCTGGACTGCAACTCCCAGCGTCCTTCAGTGTTATGCTAATGAAAACTGATGGGAGTTGTAATCCAATAGCATCTGAAGGAGTGCACTTCGACACTCTAGAGACGTCACACCCATTATCTTAACAATTATCTTAACACACAACTGTGTTAATGCATGGCACCCTCGGACAGTAACCACCGGGTCCCTCTCTCCCCAACACCACCGTTCGATCTGATGTTGCCCCCCAACCTTTAAATTTAGACTGCAGTTTTAAATTTCCCGCAATTCCCCAGAGCATCCAAAGTGGAATTGCTGGAGTGGGGGGGGGGGCTTGCCCAGTCAAAACCAGCCAACGCCTCACTTCGCACCAAGATGCCGCCACCAGCTGAAACCACATGCGTGTGGTGGGCTTGTGTGCTGAAGGACCATGTGATAAAGCTTCACAGTGGCTTAACGACGTGCCGTTCAGGCTGTTCGTTTAAAAAGGAATTCATCTCCATTTCTTATTTTTCTTGTCTCCACTCCCATCCTTCCCCCCCACCCCCACCCCGCCCAAGGTGGCTGCAAAGAAATATCGCAACTTTGAGATCCCCCGTGAAATGGCGGCCGTGTGGCGCTATCTCCACCATGCGTACACCTGCGATGAGTTTAGCCACACCTGTCCGGCCGATGAGGAGATTGAGCGCACGTACGCCAGCATGGCCAAGAAGATGAGTTAAGGCCAGCATCTCAAGGACGCACAGCTTCCATTCAAGATGGCCCCTTTCGAACTCTTCCCTTTCTGCTCATGGTCTTTACGAGGAAGCAGGTCTTACCACATCACTGGCTTCAAGAAAGCTCTGCCGCCCTGGATACCTCATCATGCTAGACTTCAAGGACTCCTTCAAATGTCCTTAAGGCGTGGGGGTCTCTCTCTCTCTCTCTCTCCAGAAGCCTGTTTTCTCACGTCTGTCTTCTTTCCACCATGAGTTAACTGTATGTGTTGGACTGATATACTCCACATGGATCTCTCTGTGACTTCTGGGCACCCACCCGCTCCACCTTGCCCTCGCTCTTCAACCCCATGGCTTGGGGACTCTGCTGGAAAGCTGTGTGTTACTTCTGAACACTAACTTTCAAAGACTTCTACTGCATAATTTCTCTGCTTTAAAGCCTGCTGTAAGATGAGGAGTGGGTGGTGGGTGGGTGGGGAGCAACGCTTTCAGGCTTGCTTAAAGTGGGGGCACTAAGGGGATGGATGCCCAAATCCAGCTTGGGGCTCTCAAAACAATTTATAGCACTTTCAGCCAGACTGGCTGCGTGACACTTAAATCTCTCATTTTCCACCCTGGTTGGAATGTTCTCCCTCTCCCTTAGTCAGAAAGGAAGGCATATCCCTGTGCATAAGCAGAGTGCTTATCTTTCTAGACTACTAAGGGAAGTGGTAAGCAGAGTATTGTTGAACCCCCACCCACCCCTTCCAGGGCTTGGCCGTACCATGAAGCAGAGCAAGACAGCCTCGTTGGGTAGCAGATGCTGAGGAAGGCAGGGACCTACTGCTGGAGAGAGCTTTGGTTTGCCTAAGCTGACCTCCTGCCTTCTGGCATGGTGCAAAATGTTCTCCCATCCCCGGGGTTGGGGAAACACTTCATCTGCCGGTCGAGCCAACTTTTGTACATGGAATTGAAGAGATATCGGAGATATGTCTGTTATGTAGACATAATATCCTGGGAGGGCCCTGATCCACCCCTCTTAAGCACAACCCTCCTTATCTCCGACCAAGACAGGATAGCTTGGAAAACATTCAGAAGAAGCAACTTATTCTTGACCTGTGACCTTTTTTGGACTGCAACTGCCAAGATCTCCTAAATAGTATGGCAGTGGTCTTCTTGCCTGGGGGATTCTGAGCACTGCAGTCCAAAAAAAGGAACTTCTCCGACTCTGGGAGGCAAGCACACCATGCTGTTCTGAGCTTCAGCAGCTGGGACCCTCCCAGTGTTTCTTAGTAGCTACTTTCCCATACCTGAACCCTTTCTGAGCTCATTGGCAAAAGACCAGCAGGAAAAGCAAACACAAAGCTACCCAGTTCAAGGTGCCAAACACACCAAGGCAAACTTGTGTGCGTTCATCCTTTGTTGTCCTGTTATTGCCACAGAAAAGAGAGCTGGGATTTGCCTGCTTAGGTATGTGAAAGTAGGAGGGTGGGTTTGTATGCTTAGAAAATAAGATTCATACGGTGAACTAAGATGAAGGGCAGATTGGTGAAAGGGGCGGAGAAGTCCCAAAACAAGAGGGAGAGCGTTTTTGCAGAAGGTCATCATGGCAGATGATGACCTTCAAACCTATTCAGTGTTCCTTCTGCTTTGAATGGCTCTCTCCTTGAGCCACACATGCATTGAGAGCCAGCTGAGTTTCACACAGCTGTGTTTAGATATGCAAAGAGTGGTTTGGTGGGTCCTGTGCTACTTTCTCTCCACCTAGTAGGGTCAAATCACTATCAAAACTCCTCACCAGTGAACCTGCTTTTGCAAGAGGTGAACAGATCTTAACATAAACTGTTTCATCAACATTTTCTTTTTTTAAAAAAAAGGAGAAGCGGACAGGGATCCAGCTTTGCAAATACAGGTAGTATAATGTTTGAGGTGTGTTTGGTGGCCAGCTTCTACTGCTTTCATTGATACATCGCTGAGCTGGGCACAAATTGAGCTGGGGGAAATTCCTTCCTCTCAGTCTAAAGACAGGGAAAATTACATCTCTTGATGAATTATCTGGTGTCTGTAAAGACAGTAATAATCTAATTCTGTCCCTTTATAACCCACCAGGTTGCACAGTCGCTCCGACGTGATTGATGAAGTTCTGCCCTAACTGTGACTTCTTTTGGGTCCTTCTTTCTATTCCTATTAACTTTGCCCACTTATAGTTCGTGGGAGTTAAATGAGGGAAACTGAAATACAAATACATAAAATAACCTGGAGGGAAAAAAATGTAGATCGCTTTTGTAAGGATAAATTCTGGAGCCGGAGCTGTGTCTAAAGTCTGTGTTTAAAGCAAAAAGCAACAGGGTGCCTCCTGTTATCTTCAATAGACGTATCAGGGCATAATTAGTTGAGTCCGGCCTCCTTCATCGCTTAAATCCTTCCGGGCCCACCAAAGCCTTGGGAACAGAACAGTTTAGTGGTAGTGCAATTGGTTGTGCGTTGTGAGCAGAAGTGGCATCTCCAGCTAAAGAAATCAAGCTGCAGGGCAACCTTGTCGGGATGGGCCCTATCATTAGACCCAGTGAGGCAGTTGACTTGGGCTGCAGATACTGGGAAGGTAGGGGAAGAGTGATGGACCAAGCCATCTTATCATGGCCTCTGAAGTTAGAAGGTTGCCTTCAGTTGCTGCAAACATTTCTCAGGAAAGAGGGGGGGGATTGGATTACAACTCCCAAAATCTCCCAGTAGGCGTAGTCAGTGGCCGCGCAGGCTGGGAAATTCCGAGAGCTGTTCTGAGACTCTTTGAAAGCTCCAAAATGGGCGGAAGATCCCCGTCCAGCTGTTTTTTTCCTGCACAGAAGAACAGTGTGTCACCACAGTCTTTTGTCTCAGGCAGCAAAATATAGGGAGTCAGCTCAGAGCCCTGCCATGCATCCGGTTGAAGGAATTTGCTGTTGGGCAAGAAGGGATGAGAGAGAGGAAGACTAGAACTGATGTATAAAAGGGGAAGCTAAACCTTTTCAATCCTGGATGGAGGAACCAAAGTCTTCCAGATGTTGGCCTCGCCCCTCCTTGCCCACAGGCCATACTGGCTCAGGCTGATGGGACTTGGAGGCTCCCCCATTGGGAAGGTCATAGGTCTCACACCATTGCTCCGTTAACAAAGAATTATGCCTGTCAGGGGGTGGGCCAGCCACCTAGATCCTGCTTCAGCTAGCAAAGCATTTGAGGTCACAACTGGGAAGGCTGCTGATGGGATCAGGACAGCCCCTGCCAGTCAAAGTACTGTAGACCAGTGGTCCCCAACCTTGGGCCTCCAGGTGTTCTTGGACTACAATTCCCAGAAGCCTTCACCACCACCACTGCTGGCCAGGATTTATGGGAGTTGAAGTCCAAGAACATCTGGAGGCCCAAGGTTGGGGACCACTGCTGTAGACAGAACTGGGTCAGATGGATGAATAATTGTGGAAAGTCTCCTTTCCATGTTCCTTATTATGTGGAGCAGAGAAAAGTTACTTTTTTGAACTGCCCAGAATCCACCATCCTACCTGGCCAATGAGCAAGGTAACGGGAATTGAAGTCCCACACCTGGAATGACTACGGCCATGTTGCATGAGGAGTTCTGGCGACCAAAATGCCATGTTTCCAAGCTCTGCTTACACAGCAATAGACATGTTTATCTTTAGCCCTGCTACAAGACACTTTATTGTTTTTTCTATAGAAGAGCTTTTAACCCTTCTGTGTTGCACTAATAGCTAGGTCAATTCTGTCTTTTGAATATAGCGTTGCCAGTTTATCTTTACTGTAAAGGTAATAAATGTTATTTTGTATACAACATCCACGTCTTAACCTTTGTGCATGTACAGAATTCCATGCAACCATTGCTTGGGTGTGAGAATCTCTGTTAATGACTAGGGGTGTACTTTTTTTTTTTACATTTCCTGCCCCATGGCAGGAAAACCAACATAAATGGGATCCCAAGCTTAGAAACTGAGACAGCATTGCAAGAAAGAGAGAGAAAGAGAGAATATCACCCCCCAACAAATATGAAATCTTTTATTCAGGACACAGAGGAATAGCAAGACAGACTTCCCATTGGAGGGAAAGCAAAATTAGATATGTTTATGCCAAGGGATGGGGAACACCTACCCCCCAATCAAAAAAAGGGTGCATGAGGCTTTTCATTTAACTGTGGATGGTCACCAGTAACAAAAACAATTTTAGAGATCGTGTAAGCCTTAGCCATAACAGTGACTAAGTATTACGGCCAAAGCTATGCAAGTATTTCTCTTGGTGGTGGGCCCTGCCCTAGCAAATGACATTCTTGCCCAGAATAGGCCAATGGACTGGACTGGGGCTTGGCATGTTCCCAGCAAAATAAATGTATACGTACGTACGTACGTACGTACGTACGTACGTACGTACGTACGTACGTACGTACGTACGTACGTACGTACGTACGTACGTACGTACGTACGTACGTACGTACGTACGTACGTACGTACGTACGTACGTACGTACGTACGTACGTACGTACGTACGTACGTACGTACGTACGTACGTACTTAAATTCATACCTCTCCTTTCTACTAAAATATAGCACTCAAGGCAACTTATCAACTTCTTAAAAGAATAAAACTAACTAAAACCAAATCTAACTATAAAATCAACCCCACCATAAAAAACATTAAAAGCATAACTCAGCAAGTCAGGAATTGGACTGTGGAACCAGAGGTTGGGAGTTCAATTCCCACTGCTGTGCCTCCTGCAAGTAGAGCCAGCCTGGGTAGCCTTGGTTCGATAAAGGAGCTTTCCCAAAATCTGGTAGAGTTTCTTTTTAAGACAGCTGGTTAGATAGCTCAGTGGTTTAGGTATCTTACTGCAGAGACAGAGGTTGGGAGTTTGATTTCCCCCACTGTGTCTCCTGCAAGTACAGCCAGCCTGGGTGGCCTTGGGCCAGCTGCACAGCCCCAGGGCAGCCCCAAAAGAAGTGAATGGCAACCACTTCTGAGTATTTTCTACCTGGAAAACCCAGGAAAGGGTAACCCTAAGACTTTGACGAAACACGATTATTATTATGAAGGGACCAATTTAATTCACGTGCTCATTCAATGATCACCCTTGACATGTTTATTCTGAGCCTTAATCCGTGAAAGAACAGATTTAAGGGGTCCTCCACCCAGTTTGCAAATTCAGAGAGATTATTGGAAGTGGGGCAGGGTGGAAGTTGTTGGACTTGGGACTTTGAAGTTGCCAGGTGACTTTGGGCCACTTACTCTCTTTCAGCCTGGCCTATTTCACCGGGTGGTTGTGAAAAATAAAGTGGGGAGGAAGAAGGCTACATAGGCTGCCTTGAAGTTCATGAAGGGAAAGTGGGACATTAATGTAAAAATACATGAATACTACCGGACTCTCCCTCAATCTGTCAGGTGTGGAATGGACAAGGTTGTCCTCTGTGTGACAAAGGCTTCCTCCTTTCTACCACCACAATCATCTGAAAAAATGTTAAATATGTTGCAGTGAATGACGACGTGAACCAAAACGTTGTGGCTTATTGGAGCTGCTACAACAAAGTGCAGCTGGAAACTGCCAACGCACCTTCTGGGCAGGCTGCCTTTAGAGGGGGAAAAAAACACACCACACACCAATAAGAAAAAGCCAAGTGGTTCCTTGAGTTCAGTTGGTGACACAGTATTTCCAGAAACAAGCTGTAAAAGAAAAGAAAGACCAGATAAAAAGGAGAGTCCTTGCTGGCATTAAAGTGGAGCAAAGAAACATTTTTAAAAAAATTCTAGGTTCTAAAGTCATGATGGCTGGAGAGATTCTGGGAACTTTAAACAAATAAACGACAATACCCTTTTCCAACTGGGGCAGAGGATCAAAGAAAGCTAACTTGTACTAGATGACGTGGTAGACGTTGGTGTTCAGAACACTTCAGATATTTGCAAAAAAAAAAAAAACCTCCTGAGATTTAATATATGACACAATTGGTGTCAATCTTGTTGGTAAATTGCTGCAAGTTAAGAAGTTAGCACAGGCATTCGCTGTTATGTGCCTAGTTGCATGAAGCAAATGCCTGCACTGACTTCTTGTCGTAAGGCACCAATGAGATTTACTCCAGTGGTGTTGAGTGCAATGGACAGAATCTAGGCCTGCCCTGTCTGCCTAAAGAGGGCAGGGAAAACACTGTGTTACTTATGGTGACCAGAACTTGAAAAAAGTTATTTGTTTGGACCAGTAGTTGAGTTTGCTAGCCATTCTGGTGTTGGATTCTAGGAATTGGGATGTAAAAATCAAGCTCTTAAACAGTGTGCAATTCTGACATTTAAGGACGCTCTTTGCTGTTTTGTGTTGTTATGTGCCAGCAAGTTGGAACCTTACAGCAACCTTAATAGGCCTTTCAAGGTAAGGGTGATATTTAAAGAGGGATTTTACCTGTTCTACTCCCCCAGTGAATTTCCATGACTGAGCAGGGATTCAAACCCTGGTCTCCAGAGCCATTTACTTATTTATCAATAGTGAAAATACATAGTAAGGCTGAGATGTGGGGCATATATGGGTCAAAACACATGCATTGTCAAAAAATGAGAAAGCATACTCGTATAGACTCATTTTATAAAACCTTGCTTCCCTTACTTATTCTCTTAGCAACCCCCCACCCCCCGCCAGTATAGACTCATTTTATAAAACCTGGCTTCCCTTTTGTTTAGTATTGTAATAATTATACTTATTCTCTTAGCAACCCCTCATGCTGATTTATGGAAAGATGAGTTATAATCATGAGTAATACCATATAATATCTTTACTATGTGGAGGCCTGATGGTTTATAACTATTTTATGCTTTTGTACATTGTATCTCACTCAGTTTTATTATTTTA